TCTTTCCCATCAAAACAAATGAGGATATAAAACATTCATCATAGTGCTCGAACTCATGGGAACAATGGAGTCACCTCTCAAACCCTTCCTAGTACATGAAGATAGGTTCATGACGATATACTGAAACGGGTTATAAGAAAAAACCTTGTTAGAATTATATTTATTTTGCAAACATCTGTTACAAGAAAAACAGTTACGAGAAAGTTATAGATGTATTTTAATACATGTAATATTCAAAAGCTTGTCAAAGTTCGTGAATAAAAACTTGTCAAAGTGGTTCCAAGCGAAACATGTGTGTTCCTATTTCTTTCATCGTATTGTAACACCATTATGAAGTTGAGACGTCTTCTTCATTAAGTGTCGATATATATAAAAGGGCCCTCTTTTATAAGGCTCATGTTAATAAGTCATGAGAAGGATCATAAAGCATTTTCAAAGTTTAAAAAATGCTAAACTATTCTATAAGTCCTAAATAGATAAGAAAAAGGCAAGAATAGAACATTTTGAAGTACTAATAAACTTCTTTATATAGTTAAAAAGACTAAGTAAAAACTTAGTCAACAAGTGCCCCATTATGATAACTGGGGACTTTTTCCACCAATCAACAAAGCAAATAAAAATAAAGTTTTAAAACATAAACTGGTCACTGAAGGGGCTGGAGCATCAGAAGTTGTGATATCAGCTTCACTTTCAGGAACGGTAACTTCTGAAGAAACAACAACAGAAGCGGTTTCAGCTGGGATTGAAATGGTAGATTCTTCGAGGGGAGCAAGAGCCACGGAAGCGTCAGCTTCCTCAAGCCGATTCATAGAAGTTTCACCCTCGGGAGCTGGAATAGCAACATTTTCAACTTCAATTATCACAGCAGCTTCTTCTTCATTTAAAGGTTCTCCAGTTGGGCTTCCTTAGCTACCCTCTTAGCCTCGAGAATAGTCTTATCAGATTCACGAGCCTTCTTTTCTAAAAGGGAAATTCTTCCCATCAACTCCGTGCCAATAAGGTTGGCCTACAAAGACAACTCATGAAGATAAGAATCTAGAAATAATAAAAAAATAAAACTTATTAAAAAGTAAAGGGAGAATACCTTCAACGTAGAATGAACTATGTCATTCATCAAAGTTAAGCAACTGTGACTGTCCATCTTTTTCTTCTCAATATCTCCAATTAAAGGCTTAAGCCAGACATCTGCTCCACCAGACTTCCTAAAAGACTGTTAGTAGCAGGAACCTCAAGTGTTACACTCCTCATAGCTAAACTTCTGCTACTAGAACCCTCCTCTGCATGCTGAACAGAGGAAGAGGGAGCTATAGAAGGAGGAACGGTAGAAGAGGTGAAAATAACAGGAGTCGAGGGAGTCGAAGCAGGTAAAAAGGAGCAGAAATTGACAAAGAAGCAGGAACAAATAAAATGGGCAAAGATGTACTTGAAACTAAAGAAGGAATAGAAGGAATAAGAATGGAAGAGGAAAGAGGAATCTCATCTAAAACTGGACCTAGATCACCACTTTCGAAACCCTCATTGAAGAGACATTGAGTGGATTCAATGGTGTTCCTGGGGATGGTTTCATCATCGGAAACAATATTAACCGGAGAGGAGGCACGGGTAGGAGAAATTTCAGCTTCATCTTCAGAAATGATACGTCTCCTGACTCTAGGTCTAACTGCCAAAGAGGCGTCTTCATCTTCATCATCCTCGGAATCCTCTTCAACAACTTTCCTCTTTGACAGCGTAGCTTGTGCTCTCTCCAAAGAAAGAGGAGTACCAAAAGAAGCTCGAAGGGAAATAGCTACTTCAGCTGACATTCCTCGAATAGAAAATCCTGACAGAAAGAAGGATAAAAAGTTAGAAGAGGGGAAAGAATTTAACATACGGGAAACAATAAGAGACGCATACCGTGAGTTTTTACTTTCCAACCATGTTTGTTAGAAATAGATTTCCAGGTTCGTGCCTCCATAGGCACGGCCTTCAAAATAGCATCTACCCAACCACGAAAATTAGGAACGGGTTCCACATCTCCCATGGTTGCTACAAAAAAGCAAAAAAGAATGAAATTAGAAAAGGAGTTGAAATAAAACAAACACGGCAAGAAAGAAATACTTACGTGCAAGGTTCCATTTCTCAGGGAAAGGAATATTTGATTCATCCACCAAATCAATCGTGGGTACCACAACATAACGGGTGTACCAGCCTCGATCTTTATCATCTTCAGGGCTTACCAAAACCCTTTTACTTCTTGCGGTTAGGGTAAAATACCATTGCGAAACAGCTTGGGGTGGTAAAGATGAATCAGATGAGAGAAGGTAAAATCGACATCATCCTTTACCGATACATACCTTAAACAAGCTACTGCTCTCCATACGAGAGGGCCAATTTGAGCCAAACAAATTTTGAAAAAACGACAAAAATCGAGTATGACTGAGTCGATAGCAGGAATAAATCCCAAAGTAAAGGGATAAGTATAAACAGAGGAAAAACCGATCCTATAAGAAGATATTCTCTGGTTTGGGTTAGGAATAGCTATATGAAGGTCATCTCTCTAACGACAATCTTTTCGAACAGTGGAAATTAAGGGTTCAGTAATTAAAGAAGGATAAGTGTCAGCTCTCTCTAATTTAATTACTTGGTCACGAAGGGATTCTTTATCATGTTCGAAAGATAAATCAGTTGGCACTATTTCTTCGACCAAAGGTTCTTGCATCGACTCAAAAGATTCTTTGCCTTTAGAGGAAGATCTATTAATGAAAGAACCTCTAGAAGTAATACCAGAGCTAGAAGAAGGAGTGATGGAACCAGAGGTACCACCACGAATGGATCCAAGGCCACGAAGTCTACCCCCTCTACCCCTTCTATGTCTCACAGGGGCATTGGGAAAACTGTCAAGAATTGGGACTCTTCTAGGGTTGGGATTTGAAGATGACATGGTAGAAAGGCTTGAACAGAGGAAGAAGTGAATAGAAGTAAATAGTGAAATATTAGGTAAAAATTTGTGGAAGGAGGATTAAGTTTATATAAAAGCAACCGTCAAAGATTAAGAAGTGTAATGATGGAAAGCCTATAATAAAGGCAACTATCACTTCGTGAATAGTGGAGTTGAAGAAGCCTTGAAAAAAGGCTGCAGAATTACAGAGCTAATGAGAAGGAGACACGTGTGCGATGCATTAAATAGAAAAGACAACTGAAGCGTTAGTACTGTCATAGCATTAATTATGGCAAAAATTCCCTTTTTAATGAAGATCCACTTCCCAAATATTTAATTGATAAATAAATGGAAAGTGGGGGGACTATCTGTATTGGGAAAAAACTGAATTTAAATATTGAAGATGACATGTCATGACACGTAGACCGGTCAAATAGTCAAAGCATGACAAACAGTTAGAAGACACGAGCAACAATAGATGCAGGAGAGAAGATACGAGCTACTATCCAGATGAAACGAGACTCGTACCTGTTCGAGCCATTTAAAGCTCGAAGATCAGAAGGAATTGAAGATATGAATCTGATAGCGTAAAAGAGTCCAAATTCAACATTAAATGTCAAATACGTTAGAGAATTTGTATTTAATAAGAATGATTGAATAACGTTTCTTTTAATGTCATTTAGTGCTCGTAATTGCCTCATTAAGACAAAGATATTACACTTTCTCTTAGAATTGACTATAAAAGGAGAAAGTCACAACATTTGTAGGACACGAAATATCATTCCGATTATACTGAAATATACTCTTATTCATTGCTTTATTGTTGTTCACAAAATCTCTTATTTCTTGATTTTCAGTAACCCGATTTCTCTATTAAATTCTAGCTTTAACCAAATATTCAGTTTTTTGGTTAAACAGTTATGAAATATCAAAATAAGAATGGTTCATTGTTCAATTTACCATCTACTATAATTGCTTCTCTTATTCCCTTTACTATTCTGGTTGCTTCGATTTTCTTTGCCGTGCGTTGAGAAATTTAGGAATGCCAGTAAATTTGTGCAAATCTATTATGTCGTGAAAGTTATTACGATATACCGAAGCAACTTGTATTTTTTTTATGTATAAATGAGAGTGATGGTGTAGGAACATGGGCATTTTGGATAATTCTTAAAATCTTTAATGGTAAATCAATAATTTGCTCCTCGGCCTTTTCAAATCTTTCTGTTTACGATGCCACAATCTTTCGCTTTTTCTCTTTGTTATGGTACATCCTTCTATTTATGAATTATTTTATGCCTTAGATAAAATGATGGATATGCATTCCCAGTGTGTTTAGCATATGGATGTAGCTGGGTTATAAAATATAATTCTTCCCCTTTTAGTTTGTTCTCATGGAAAGAAGAAATGAAATTAGATGTGAATAATACTGATTAACACAGATTTCCAAGCCTATTCTCAATAGTTAGAGAAAATCCTATAAGGGTATGTTCTAAAATATTAGATGCAAAATCTTATTTGATCAAGAGAGCCTTCTGCTAATGATAAATGAGGTTCTGTGGATAAAATTAATGAAGATTATCAAAGAATAATAAACGAATCTTTTCCGCGATAGGTGATCCATGAATAAATAATTATTTCTCGAAAGATTTAACTGTTAAAGTTCTTGCTTTGGTATATGTCAAAGCTCACTTCTTACAGAAAAACTGATAAAATGACAATTGAGTTGAGTAAGAAATTGAACTTTATTTACAGATGGCCAATTTCATCATTCTGTCCAATTCTGGAATACTGTGAAAATTCTTATCGACTAAAGATACAAGAATTTTGGGTAAAATCTTCTTTTCTGATGCACCTTTGATTGATATTTAGGAACTTACTAAACTTACTTAAATATAAAAAATAATAAGAGATTTCATTCAATTGAAATTCTGCGTCCTTCGTACGATGAAGGGCCTTTCTGTTAATATGTCCTAAAGTGTGGGCATTTCAGTAGCTCTTTGTCTTTCCCAAAATTGTTACTACCTGTCATTCACTATGGACCCACCTGGGTTATATCTTTTTTTTTGGTTTCCCACCTGGTCCGGGCGCTCCCTACCAACTATTTTTCCAGGCTCCACTCGTGGATCATATCTTTTATCTCTCTCCTTCGTTCTTCTTCCTTCCTCCTGTTTGTGTATTTTTTGGTGAGTTCTTCTTCCCTCTTTCGTTTTTATATTCAGTTTTGTAACAATTTTTTTTTTTGTGTGTCGCTGGTTATATTTTGCAGCCTCTATTTCATTCAATGCATATCTTAAGTTTTCTCCTGTTCGTGGCCTTTCTTGCACTGATTTCTGCTCATCACTTCTGTATTCCTTTGAAAGTTTTGTCCCTTTTTTTTTTTTTCTAGATTTTGATTTTCCTACGCTTTCTCCTAATTTATTGCTAGATATTTTGCATGCACGTCTGTAATTCTATCTGATCCCCACATGCACTGTTGAAAAATAGATGACTGGTGCATTTAATTGTGTTGTTTTGGATTATTGTTCGTTAAAGTCTTTTCTGGCTATTGCCACTAATAAAATTCTGCGAATCGAAACGTCTATGCTAAAGTCTGTAATTTTAAACTTGCTGTTGGAAGATTGGGTCATTGCTACTTAAACTTTTTTAGTTATCGACAGTATCAGTATATTTGTAGACATATTTTCATGGTGTTGTTTCTGTGAAAATGTTTTACAGTTTGAGACAATATCTATTTTAATGGTTTTTATCTTTTCCACATTTTTCTAATTCTACTCAATGTGTTGAATTTTTAAATTATGAAGATTGATGAATCCAAGATGTTCGGTCATATGCCTGAAACAACTTAACTATTTGCTAAGAATTTCTTTTGTTTCTCTTTTGCTATTAGCGAGTAAATTAGGACTGCCTTCAACGATGTAAGCTTGTGCATTCCTGTGAATTGGGGAAATTTTTTCATAATATTTAATACTTATTGATGTAAAATTGTGCATTTCCTGCCTTAGATGTTCGTAAGTCAACAATTGGTGCTCTAACTTGAAAAGAATATAAGCGATACCAGAAGCTGCAAACATGCTTTCCCATATAAGGTAATACCCTCATTCTTACCTTATTTGTTTTTAAACGCCATATTCTATCATCCTTATTCAATTAATGATGTATTTTCTTAAACGGAGAAAAAAGATGTGACATAGAGAGTTGCATTACAAAAGGTTGTATGTAGTTATTCTCTCTGACATTCATATGATGTGCTTTTGAGTTGAACAAAGCCATTAAAAATTCCTTGTGTAAGTGAGGAGTTGTAAAATATGCATGTAGATATGTAAAACATAGAGCCCGATCGTGCTGCCTCTTAGGACATTGTATTCTCAAGTGGCCATAACACTTCCAAGGTAAGGCACCAATACATGACAAGAATCGAGGTTTTAAAATTTGATTACTTCCAATTAACGAGTTACTATCATGTTTTCTTGATGAGATAATTGGGTAATTGGTAATTGCTAATGTTGTAAACTGCAAAAGGACTCTGGGACTGCAGAATTGGTGTATAATTAAAAGATGAAATTGTTGTTAGACTGACCTAAAGTTTTACGTTTGTTCTCGATATGAGCATACAAAATACTGTCAGATATCAAAGTAGCGCATCTGGAGGGCTGAACCATTTTCGTGCTTTTGTGGATTTGCTTATTCTTTGCAAATGGCACCAAACTGGAAGAATAATAGTTTTCCTCTATTAAGACAATAGAAAACTTCAGTTCTTTCTACAGATCTCATGGATGTTCAGCCTTGATTCGGGAGAGTAGAGATTTTAAGAGAAACGTATAACCTATAATTTTTTAGATTCAGAAACAATGCAAATAATACCAGGAAAGCAAATATTTCATGATACTTCTCAGCATTGTATTGTTAAGGTGTGTTCAATAGAAACATTGAATTGTGTTCGATAGAAACTAAGAAGAATTTTCTGCACTAGAGAGAAAGCTTAAGTTTGGAAGCATTGTATTTGATGTGAACTCCTTTGATGTAGCACAGGTAACTGTGCTCATATACCATTCAGCAAGCTGTAGGGTGTTGCTCTTCTGTAATTGAGCCAACAATCTTAAAGTGCCTTTCAGTTGTGAATTAAGTTGTCTTTGGTTGCTAAAAAACTTTCCATCTTTGTTTGCTTGTGTTTATGACTCTCAGTGTCTTCTTTCCTTGCGATTATTGTGAAACTTCATAACTAACATAAGTATTATTTTTCTATATGGATAGGAAAAAGTGGACAAGCCTTTGGAGGGATAGAGAACTTTTACTATATTAAAGGATGAAAGGAGTATTTATATGTCTTAAAAAGGAATATTTTTCTCATAAGAGGTGCAGGTTTCCATCACTTATCCCCTTATATTCTTATAGCGTAATGGTTGATCTCTCTCATAACCTTTATTTTTCGCCATTTCAAAAGTCTTGTTTTCTGTTGATGCTGCTAATAGTTAGAAAGCTAAATGCAGCTAAATATTTCTTGCAGAGTAACATAAACACTTATTCGTGGATGCGATCTGCAGCAAATATTTTCAGTTAAATGTTTTTAATGATATCTATTCTTTGTATTACATAACCTTGGTAGATTCTTTTTTTTTTTAGTATTTTGACCTTGTCAAGGTAGAAGCTACTTAAATATAAAAATCTAACTGAGTTAATTTCTCACTTCAGTATAGGCATCTGCTCAGTTGAAAAAAAATGCCAAATATAGTTGTTCGTCTACCTACAATACTAGGTATTTTGAAGTTATCATGACTCATAAGCATGGATGGAACTAATCAATTGAATCTTTTGATGCTCAAAATCTGAAGATATCTCATGTCTTAAAGATTTTGGAGAAATATAATACTATTATAAAGGTTGATGTAACTACTATCAAAAGCCTTGCATTTGAAACTAATTCAGAATCTTTGTTATCCTGGTAATGAAGTAGTGAGATGAAAGCTTATTAAAGAGATTGACACTCTTATGAATATATCCTGAGCATTATGCTCGATATCTCCTTTGAAAGGATAGAAAAATCTTTGAAACAATAGTTGATTCCTTTAGTTGCTTTCAAGAGAAACTGTTTAAGCTATGCATTTCATTCATCCATTGCTGATGGAAGTGGTAAAAGTGCATTCACTCGAAAAAGAATGTAAGATAATGTTGCATTAGCATCTTAAGATGAATACTTTATACATAGAACTGGGGCATTCTAATCCCTTAAACAAAGAACAACATTCCAAAAAAAAATCACCTCCAAAGAGAGTCACTACCATATGTCGCATCATGAAAGTGATGAAATTACTCTGATCTCTAAAATTCTTTTAATGGTGTACAAATGAGGAATTTTTTGGGAATTCCTGAAGTCTATTATTGCTTGCCTTTCTATTCAAAGTTTCCAAAAATTTCATAGTTAATTGAAATTTCTAGAGGTATAATATTTAGAATGTTTTTAAAATAAAAGTCAAACTGATCTTTTTTAGGAAAACCTTGATTACCTGGTGCCTTTTGAAGTCTTTTAGTACCCTACTTTTGTGTTTTTCCTTTGTGGCTTACCCTTTGAAAACCCAATCAACCACAGTTCTATTTGTTCTACTACTTCTCTTATGTCTCTTTATTACCTCTTTACTCGAGCACACACATGTGCTGCCTCTCAATTTCTTTGATTGTTCTTCCTACTTCATAATATATATCTTTTTTATTTTTTGCACTTTCAGTTCATAGTATATTCATTTCAAATGTATGTAAAAATTCGGCTTCCCATTGATAAGAATACCCATCATCTCTTCTTCCCTCTTTCGTTCTTGCTCAGTAGCATTTTTTTTGTATGATTGCCTTATCTATCTCCTTGATTTTTGGTTAGTATTATTACTCTTTCAGTCTTTCTGGCTTTGGCTTATTAGTTTTTTCTTCCTGCTTTTTTCGCTAATTCTGCTCACACATGGACTTGTGGCTAACTGTTCTTAGTGAATTTGATTTTAGAGATTTGATCATATTACAATAGTGTCAATGTTACAATTATTGCATCATATGCAAATCACATCTTTTTGTACTTGCTAACATCTTCATTTCGGTTCTCTTTTTTCCGTTTTTATTCATCGTGGCCCTGGGATTAAGGATAAGGCATGCGCTAAAATGCAAAATTTTCTAATGAAATTGTTTTGTATATTCAGTTTACTAATGGTTTATGATATGAGCATCTATAGCCTCAGCTTTGCATTCACACCAACAGTTTTGCTCATAATTTCTGTGCTTCTTTCGTTTCATTGTGGCATCAACTTAGTGGAACCTTACATTAAAAAGGTCATACATTCTAAACAGTTCTATTGGTTAAATATGTCTGCCTGTAGGAAAGATTGGTCTTGTCGCCAATATCAGTTATGAATGCTTTATTGTTGACCTTTATTGAACTATAAAATTTCAGAAAGCAGAGATTTTTGTTTTATCTGTTTCTAATTTTTGCAGGGTGGAAAAAGTACGACAGAGAATTGTCAGGTTTTCCAAATGTGACTTCTTACATACTAAACATATCTGTTTATGCTTTATATGGAGTACTCCAAAAATTCTAGCTGCATTTTGGCATACTTATGGTTGCCCTATTGTTTCCTGATTCAGTTGAATCATTTTTATAGTAATCTACACATAAGTATGGGTTGCTTTAGAAAAGAAGATCCAATTCTAAGCTAAACTAATCTCTTCTATTAAGCAATATGAAGAGTTGTATTATCCAATAGGAAAGTTGCCATTTCTAAACATGTTTCACACCCTATTCTAGGAATCTTCCATTTTATTCTATTCTTTTTTCTTTTTCTTTTTTACTTTTGAAATTTGACTTATCCTTTTTGTTTTCGTTAACTTTATATCAGGCATAACTCTGGTATTCCAGGTTTTAGTCTCTCTTCTACTTGTTCTTTCTACTTTTCCAATTAAAATTTCATAATCTTTGGTGTTTGAAAATTTTCGAATGTCACCCGAAGGAAAATAAATCAAATTTGTCAATGATATTGGTTTTGAAACTTTATATATTTATATAGTTCACCTGAATAACTCTTGCTTCAGATTGTAACTTTCAGCGTGGTGAGGGGATGATCTTCAGGTGTATAATATGGGAGCAGCTTTCTCATATTTCATCCATTGGAAGCCCCAAACCAAATTGTTACTTACAACTTACAAGTTACTCCTATTGAAATTTCTTTTGTAATTTTCTGGTTCATACTCATTGCCTTCGATGTCTCATCTAATATTCAAATTCAATGTTGTCATGCACGTCGACTTGGAGCTTTTGCATGTGCACATTACGTTCTCATTGTACCTTCTCTTTTGTTCCTTTTGGCTACAGAGATGAAACCTAATCAAATAAACCTCCTCCACTGTAGGCATGAAAATATTCCAAACTCCCATTATTGTAAACCTAAGACCTCGACTTATTTATCACCATATATTCTTTGATGAGTTTGATTTATCACTATTGTTACTTATGCAAATTAATTTGATAGAGTTGAATTAGTACTCGACTGGCGTTTTGGTTGGATTTTTTTAATAGAAATATTCTACATTTGCTTCTCTAATGTTGCCATATTTGCAGGTTCTGATACTGAAACTACTGTGAATAAGTCTTATAACAATAGTAGTTTATAGAAATGATACTTTCAAAGGGGTGCATATTCTTTTCTCCAATTTGTTAAAGTTTAAGCTGAACTATGTACCACAAAATATACTACGTATGTTGCAAATAATTTCATAATCTTTTTGATATTTTATACAACCTTGTTCCTCAATGAACGTATATAGTAGGGAGGTCAATATTGTGAATGTTTACTCAGCTTGATAGTGTTATAGTATTACGTTCTTGTTCGGTAATCGTGCCAAATAATTGAAAAAAAGGATGAAGCTATTATCTTTTCAATTTTCATTGTTGAACTTTTTTATAATCTTATAGTTGTACAAATAACACAAACAACAATATCGGCCATACGCCCGTGCATAGCACGGCACAGGCCATCTAGTAGATGAATAAGCGAATAAACTTTATAGTGTGACAAGTACGTGTGCATATAAGAAATGCTAAATTTTGTTTTTTCGTACTAAGTATTTAAAATACATATTAAAATTTTTTAATAATTTTAGTTTTAACTACTAATATCATAAATAAGTATCTCCGTACTCATGTGAATATAAATGGATTTATGATATGTTCCATTTTTTAAATAACAAAAGAATATGATGAGTTTAGAAAGTATTTTTCTAATAAATATTTTTATAAATAGAAAAAAGGACTTAGCAAAACATGAAATTGATTTTAACAAGTGTTCCTCGCATATGTGGAATGAAATTAAGAGACAGAGAGTAAAAAATAATATTTAAAAAATAAGAACAAAAGAGAATTACCCATTGTAATTACAAGCATTTCTCACGTTCCATCTGAAAATTGAAGAGTCTAATTGCTACTCCTTAGTTACATTTTATTCCCAGCCCTGACCAATTACAAGATGTGGTTCCAAATAGGCTACAATTTTAAAGAACTTATCTATCAGAGGCTCTAATTTAAAGAACTTTATCTATCGGAGGCTCTAATTTACAGCTTGTTTGGATGGTCGTTACTTATTGTATAGTATCGTATTGTTACTTTAAATACGATGTTTGTACAGCTTGTTTGGATGGTCGTTACTTATTGTATAGTATCGTATTGTTACTTTAAATACGATGTTTGTTTTGATTGTTACTTAAATTAAATTCGTCGTTACATAACTATAAAATGTGCCACTTTATCTAACGACCGATTTGGTGTGGTTGTGTCGTTATCTTGTCTTTTTCTTTCATCTCACCCTTTATTATTATTAAATTATTTTATTTTATCATTTACCTTACCTTTTTATATAATAAGTTTACCCCGTATCATAATTTTTCTTTATAATATTGCGAATTTATTTTTCATATTGCTGGTGCATGATATCATGAAACAACAACAAACGATACAAACAATACAGTACAATACAATACATTATAAAACATTGCGTAACAACCATCCAAACAAGCTGTTAAAAGAAAATCTATCTAGTGATATAAGACATAAAAGATTCAATGTCTTTTTTTGTTGCGCCACCATCCATGAACGATGCTTTCACCACATCCTTCAGCTCCGCCGCTTTTTGCCTCAATTTTTCACCTTCCGGCGAATCCATCAAAAGTCTTTACAGCATTATGAATTGTTTCTGCTTTCACCAACTCATTTCTACGCGCCCAATCTCTAACGTAAATCCCTATTTTCAAACCTTTGATCAATAACAAAGCGGTCCTCGGGTGGTCTGTATGCAATGGCCATGCAGCAATTGGAACTCCCATTGAAATGCTCTCCATTACAGAGTTCCATTCACAATGACACAAGTAATCTCCAGTTGACGCGTGTCCTAACACCTCTAGTTGTGGGCCCCATCCCCGCTCTACGATTCCTCTTCCTTCAACTCTTTCCTCATACCCTTCTGGTAAAGCAAAGGTCCGAGTACTACTGCCATTGATGATAAAGACATTTGCTCTGTCTGCTTCTTTCAGTATCCAAATGAACTTTTGTTGACTTTGTTCAAGACCAAGTGCCAGTTCTCTTATTTGTTCATCAGTAAATGAAGCTGCAGATCCAAATGAAACAAGTATCACTGAGTTTGGTTCTTGTTTGTCCAGCCACTGCAATAAGTGATGACGTGGCAGGGTACTAGTCGTGTCTTTTCTGATATTCTGCTCCATTTCCTAAGGGTTCATAAAAAGACCAAGACCCCAAGTTTTCCAACGCTCATCATACGATTTGAAAGCTTGTTGCATCAAATCAAGATATATACATCGGACTTCGTTGTTGCGACTTTTATGGCACCAGCATGTGCCTTTACAAATGAGTCTGCCGACATGGCAAACGAATCAATAGAGTTCGGGGGTAAGTTATGGTACCAAATCATGGGACCCTTAGACAGAGTTTCCCCAAACATTTTTAGCAAAACAGACTCAACCTCATCGTCTTTCAAATCATTTCCTTTTATGCCACAAGCATATGTGGTGATGTGCTCGGTGGGATTAGTGGTCCCGTTGCATTTTGGGATATCTGGCATCTGAAACTTCTTCAGGATGGTCCTCGGAGCCGCACTCTAGGGGAATGGTTTTTGTACAAACTTCTTCGAGTCCAGTCCTTTCAAAATCGGAGGTGCTCTCGGTTTCTGGTCGACCCTTGAGTTATATGTCTCCACCTTTTTGTCATTTTCTTCAATTTTCTTTTCTCCGGACTCGATCCTCTTGGCTAGTTCCTCGAGAATTTTCATAATCGTAGGGTCAGTCCCCGAGCCACTTTCATCGGGCCTCTCTAGCGCCGGTTCTGCGCACCGAGTGTTCTATGGTTCAGCGGTGTTCGGAGTTCTATTCTGAGTCTGAAGTTGAGCGATGGGGACTTGCTGATCTTGCAGCATCTCGAATATCACTTGGAGGCTGACTCCCCCTTCTTCCATTACTTGTGCTCTTTGGCCACCGGGCCGGGCTTCTCTGCGCGCATTCCCTACGGGGTCTGCACCTGAATCCGCGTTTTGAGCGTTATGCGAACTGATATCAACCGGCTCCATATTTGGCACTTCCTCAGGGTTTACGGGTGGTACACCAATCCCTATACCGTTGTTTTCTCCAAGACCTTCGTCGTCATGAATATGTGCATTCTGTGTGCTAGACATGTCTAAGCTTGAGAATCAAAAAATCTTGACAAGAAAAAGTGTAAAGATACCGTGTGTAATGAGAATCAGTAAAGAAATAATCACTATTATCTTTAGCCTCACGGTGGGTGCCAAACTGTTTACCTCGAAAAATGTGAGTAACAATTAAAGGTGATTTGTGATTTTAAAGATATGTGATTTATTTCAATACTAGTGAAGATATCAGTAATATTAGGTTTAAGTAAGAAGAATTGATGAACCAAACCAGTGTTGTTAGAGCAATGGGGACCTCGAGCTTGATTATCTCGGCGTCCTCGAGGTAAGTTAAGAGCAAATAAAGTATGAACAATAAAGTAGAAACAATAAAGCTAAAGAACAATTGTGGAGCACAGTAAACGAGAAAAGCAAAGAAGAATGTTCTATTGCAGTGAAAAATGAGATTGTCTTTACAAATGATTGGGGTCCCCTTTACAGAGGAAGGGAAAACCCTAATATGGTACATTTACAATTATGGTAAAGAGTTCTATTGGTACAGCTGTATAACAACCTAGTACGGATTCGTACTATTTCGTACAAATCTTATGCCCTGATCTACGTGTCCTTGAGAAATTCCCGCTCTTTCTTGAGTGTCATCGAAATATTACTGCCCTCGAGGCAGATCACGACGTATCTCCGATTTGCTTTCTCGAGGTATGCATTTTGTAGTCAGATCCGATCTTTACTTCATGCTACCCGAACTCGAGCCCGGGGTACCGTTAAGTCCTCGAAATCAAGCTCTCCGACCCTAATTTTTGATTGGTACTTGTTATGCACATCTGCCCGAGGGGGATCCCAATTGGTCATCCTCGACCCTAATTTTTGATTGGTACTTGTTATGCACATCTGCCCAAGTCACGGCGGGATACTCGATCAAGTTCTGCTTTAGCTACTTCGAAGCTATCGAACTTCGTTCATTTAGACCCTGTGTGAAGGCTTGTACGGCCCAGTCATCGGAGACTAGTGGTTACTCCATTCGTTCTGACTGAGCGGGATACAAAATCCCTCAGCATCTCGTTCTCCCTTTGCTTTATTTTGAATACATCGGACTTCCTTGTTGCGACTTTTATGGCAACGGCATGTGCCTTTACAAATGAGTCTGCCAACACGGCAAACGAATTAATAGAGTTAGGGGGTAAGTTATGGTACCAAATCATGGGACCCTTAGACAGAGTTTCCCAAACTGTTTTAGCAAAACAGACTCAATCTCATCGTCTTTCAAATCATTTCCTTTTATGCCACAAGCATATGTGGTGATGTGCTCGTTGGGATTAGTGGTCCCGTTGTATTTTGGGATATCTGGCATCCGAAACTTCTTCAGGATGGTCCTCGGAGCCGCACTCTGGGGGAATGGTTTTTGCACGAACTTCTTCGAGTCCAGTCCTTTCAAAATCGGAGGTGCTCCCGATTTCTGGTCGACCCTTGAGTTGTATGTCTCCACCTTTTTGTCATTTTCTTCAATTTTCTTTTCTCCGGACTCGATCCTCTTGGCTAGTTCCTCGAGAATTTTCATAATTGTAGGGTCAGTCCTCGAGCCATTTTCATCGGGCCTCTCTAGCGCCGGTTCCGCGCGCCGAGTATTCTCTAGTTCAGCGGTGTTTGGAGTTCTATTATAACTCTGAAGTTGAGCGATGGCGACTTGCTGAGCTTGCAGCATCTCGAAAATCACTTGGAGGCTGACTCCCACTTCTTCCATTCCTTGTGCTCTTTGGCCACCGGGCCGGGCTTCTCTGCGCGCATTCCCTACGAGGTCTGCACCTGAATCCGCGTTTTGAGCGTTATGCGAACTGATATCAACCGGCTCCATATTTGGCACTTCCTCAGGGTTTACGGGTGGTACACCAATCCCTATACCGCTGTTTTCTCCAAGACCTTCGTCGTCATGAATATGTGCATTCTGTGTGCTAGACATGTCTAAGCTTGAGAATAAAAAAAACCTTGACAAGAAAAAGTGTAAAGATAACGTGTGTAATGAGAATCGGTAAAGAAATAATCACTATTATCTTTAGCCTCACGGTGGGCGCCAAACTGTTTACCTCGAAAAATGTGAGTAACAATTAAAGGTGATTTGTGATTTTAAAGATATGTGATTTATTTCAATACTAGTGAAGATATAAGTAATATTAGGTTTAAGTAAGAAGAATTGATGAACCAAACCAGTGTTGTTAGAGCAACGGGGACCTCGACCTTGATTATCTTGGGGTCCTCTAGGTAATTTAAGAGCAAATAAAGTATGAAAAATAAAGTAGAAACAATAAAGCTAAAGAACAATTATGGAGCATAGTAAACGAGAAAAGCAGAGAAGAATGTTCTATTGCAGTGAAAAATGAGATGGTCTTTACAAATGATTGGGGTCCCCTTTATATAGGAAGGGAAAACCCTAATATGGTACATTTACAATTATGGTAAAGAATTCTATTGGTACAACTGTATAATAACCTAGTATGGACTCATACTATTTCGTACAAATCTTATGCCCTGATCCACGTGTCCTTGAGAAATTTCCGCTCTTTCTTGAGTGTCGTCGAATTATTACTGCCCTCGAGGTAGATCACGACGTATCTCCGATTTGCTCCCTCGAGGTATGCATTTTGCAGTCAGATCCGGTCTTTACTTCATGCTATCCGAACTCGAGCCCGGGGTACCGTTAGGTCCTCGAAATCAAGCTCTCCGATTTTGACCGTGTAAAAATATTATCAATGCGAATAATTCTTGTAGTCAGATGGAAAAAGTCATTAGATAGCATTAAAGTGCATACGAAATTTGATTACTATATGAGGCCAATTTCACCTTTACACACTATTTTTTTTGGTAATTAAATTTTATTATTACCAATATTTACAAGTATAGTAACAACCCTATCAAATACTCACTTAGAATTGGACATGCAGCCCCAAATCTAGTGTCATCATTACTACACGACTACTTTGCTATAACAATCTAAGGGTAAAAATTGAAATCCTGTAATTTCCTAACTAGTTTAGAATTCAAAATTCCTCGACAATGCACCTCTTGAACTATCATTCTGGTCATCTCCTCGCAGCTTCTTTGTTTTCCACGAAATATTCGCCAGTTTCTTTCTTGCCAAATGTAGTACACAGTGCAGGTTAGAAGGATTCTATATATTATGGATATTTGTTGCTTGCCTGCTGCATGCCTTACAGCCCATTGTATCTCTTCATTCCACCCCTTCACATCTCTTGTTATCCCCAACCATTGTAGCAATTTCCTCCATATTCTCTGATGCTCTTTCACATAACGAGCAACCATTGTTATCCCCAACCATTGTAGCAATTTCCTCCACCCCTTTAAAGAAAAGGTGATCATGATTCTCTGATGCTCTTTCACATAACGAGCAATCTGAACTGACTGCTATACCCCAACCAAGGAGTCTGTCCCTCGTGTATAGTCTTCCAAGAATCGCCAAATACAAGATGAAAATCCATTTTGGGCTACTGGTGTTGTTACAAATTAGTCTCTTCCACTCAACTTTAGGTAACTCACCTCTGAGTTTATCATATATGTACCTGATAGAATAGCTCTTCATATTCATCACCTCTTGCACTCCTATATTCGCTTCATTCAAGTATTTTGCAGCACCAAGAATTTTTCGAGTGAGCCAAGAAGCTTGCTTTACATTCACATTCCATATTACCTGATGTTTGATATAGTATGTGTGTATCCACTGTATCTACAAGCGATCCTTCTTCTTGTTCAGATTCCATAGTTGCTTGAGTAAAGAAGCTCTGTTCCATATTAGGATATCCGTTATGTTCAAACCACCTGCAGACTTTGGCCAACACAATTGCTTCCAGGCTACTAAAGCTTTAGACCTGCTTTCAGCTTCACCTGTCCAGAGAAATCTTTTACAAATTGTCTCAGTTCCTTGAATGATCTTCTTTGGTAGAGGAAAGATTTGTGACCAAAACGATTGAATAGCAAACAATACACTCTTGATCAATTGTAACCTTCCTGCATATGATAGAAATTTTGTTGTCCATTGCTTGATTTTGTCTAACAGTAGAGGTTGGCATTGAGTTATAGATAGCCTCTTAGTACTCAATGGAACCCCTAAATATCTGAAAGGTAGAGTGCCTGTAGAGAATCCTAAGCATTGAATGATATGCTGCTGGATTTCCTCTGTAACCCCTCCAAAGTAGATAGAGCTTTTGTCTTGGTTTGCAATCAGACCTGAGGATCTGGAAAATTGATCAAAACACTCATATAGCAGCTGAATGGATACCACATCACCCCTACAGAACAACAAGTCATCTGCAAAACTGAGTTGGACTATATTCAGCTTCTCACACCTGGGATGGCAGTTAAAATCAGGTTTCTCCTTAAGAGTCTTTAAAATTCTGGTTAGGTACTCCATGGCTAGAACAAAGAGATATGGTGACAATGGGTCTCCTTGTCTAACTCCTCTTTTGGCATCAAAAGGACTTGTTGGCTTTCCATTGACTACTATAGAATAGGACAGTGTAGTGACACATGTCATGATCCATGAGAGAAACTTTCCTGGAATATTCATTTCTGTGAGAACTTGCTCAAGAAAACTCCATTCTATAGACTCATACGCTTTCTGCATATCAATCTTGACCATACATCTGGGTGATATACCTTTTCTCCCATAACCTTTAACAAGCTCATGCCCCAATAGAATATTATCATTCAACACTCTACCTGGTACAAATGCTGCTTGACTCATATCTACTAGGGATCCCATTACTGGTTGTAGCCTGCTTGTGAGCATTTTGGAAATAATCTTGTATATAATAGCACAACAGGATATTGGCCGGAACTGCTTGATAGAAGAGGGGTTCTTCACTTTAGGGATCAAAGTAACTGATGTACTCTTTACTGGATAGTATATTAATCCTTCATCAAAGAATTTCAACACAGCCTGTGTAATATCCTCACCAACTATGTGCCAAGTCTTTTTGTAAAAATATGCATTAAAGCCACCCCCACCTGGTGCCTTAGAATCTCCTATCCCCTGCAGTGCTTGCAACACATCTTCTTTAGTGAAAGGAGCAATAAGTTGTAACTGCTGAGATCTTGTAAGCCCTGGTCCTTTCCTCATTATACTAGGATTAATAGCAGGTATGCTATTAGTTGATCTTCCTAGCAATCCTCTATAGAACCCCACTACTTCTTGCTCAATACCTTCCGGAGTGTTGATCAATCTACCATCTTCAGCTATTAGGAATTTGAGTTGATTCTGTGCTACTCTGCCTTTCATGCTTGCAAAGAAAAAGGCTGTATTGGAGTCTCCCAATTGGAGCCATTGAATTCTAGATCTTTGTCTGTATATGCTCTCCTCTATCTTGCTCCATTATTCCAATTGTTGCTTTGTGTTTCTCTCTGTTTCAAACATGTCTTCAGGTATTGTAGTGGTTCTCATCTGAGCTTGTATGTTAGCTAAAGTTTCCCTTAGCTATTGCACCTTGCTTGTTGTACTGGAAAACTCCTTCCTGTTCAGACTTTAATAGCCACTTTGACATTCTTCATATTGTACCAGATACCTTTCATATTCCTGTTATTCTTATCCCATCTGTCTCTAATTATATTTTCAAAATCTGGATGATCAGCTAGGCAGTTGAAAAACTTGAAAGGTTTCCCTTTAGGTTCCATTTCTGATTCCAGCTCTATACACAATGGAGAGTGATCGGAAAATTGAGGATCCATCACATTAACTTGCATTGGTGGCATGTTCATCATCCAGCGTGCATTAACAATGACTCTGTCAATTCTGCTATAGACATGGCCGTTTGTCTATGTATAGAATCTACCCACAGTATTAAGTTCATTCAGTCTGCAATCCTCTATCAGAGATCTGAAGTCCTTGATCTCATTTTCCTGCACTATTGTACCATTTACCCTGTCCTCAATATCCATTACTGCATTAAAATCTCCCATGATTAACCAAGAGAGTCATCTGGGCGTCTATTCTCCTTAATGCTTCCCACATATCACACCTGTGAGCAACTATATGCAATCCATAAATAGCTGTAAAAGCAAATTGCTTTCTAGAACTGCTATTTTGAACTATGCCATGAATGTACTGAGTATGAGTCTGAATCAAAGTAAGTTGAATACTTTTTGGATCCCAAAGAATCCATATTCTTCCCTTATCACCAGCTGATCTATTTGAGCACCAATTCCACCCTGGTGCACATTTATTAATAATCTCATTTTCTTTATTATCCTGCACTCTATGTTCTACTATTGCTATAAGACTAATTTTTTTATTTTTCAAGAAATTTTTCATCTCCTTCTGCTTATATACCTTATTGAAACCTCTCACATTCCATGTAGCTATCTTCTTATAGATTTTGGATTGGGTGGTGCTTTTCCTTCAACTGCTCCCATACTACTTCTAGCATTGTCTTCATGTGCCCATCTTGAATTTCCTTCCAGTGCTTCCTCTCTTAATGGAGAGAAACCATTGTTAGTAGTGAGAACTTGTTGAATTGGACTTGTCAGTCCTCCTCTACCTTTTGCTTTTATCCACACTTGTTGATCACCATTTAACTTCTGAAGTTCAATCTGCTGCACTTGAGCTATTTGCTTGCCTGTTTCCTTTCCTGCTTGCTTTACTGGCCCTATTGCAACCCACTGAGCTGCTGGATTTGCATTCTTTGCCTGCTGCATATTTCCATTAACAGTAATACTTCTTCCTTGTTGTTTAAGCATTACTGGTTTTTGTTGTTACTGCTATTCTTCCTAGCTTCCCCAGCTCTGCCTTGCTCTCCATCACAATCATGTCCCACCATCAAGCATTTCTTATAATATTGTGGCACCCAGTCATATTCCAACAACTGTTCAAACTCCTTCCCTGCAGGATCTTGTATTTTAATACATTTAGGTAGCTCTTTACTGATATCCATTCCAATAAGGACTCGGGCATAAGAGATTCTGGCTGTATTGGTTGTGCATTCATCAATATAGATAGGGCAGCCCAATCCACTAGCAATTCTGCTTAGAGTCATCCTTCCCCAGCAATTCAAAGGAAGATTAGGAAAACTAACCCATAATGGTATAGTCTTAAGAACTTCATTATACAAATTAAAATCTGCCGACCATGATTTCAGAATTAATGGCTTTGCTCCCATGGTATGTGGCCTTGAATACAACACTTCATTCTTATCATCCATGCTATTAAATAGTATAACAAAATACCCTTCGTTGTGATAAAATACTTTTGGTTTAGCAGCAAAGTTCCATTGTGCTGCTATGAATCTCTCCATGGCTCCTATTGAAGGTGAATCTCCAATAACATACAAGATTATAGCCTTCTGCCATTTCGCATTTTCCACCTCCATCTCCTCCTGTTGTAACTGCACTTTCTTTACTCCATCATGAATGGTAGGTGGTATGAACACTAGATCCATTCCTTTTGCAGCCAGTTTATTGCCAGTGAATAGATTTACCCAATTTTTCTCAGTTTTCCCCAACTCTGGTTTTGATGCCTCTTGACCTAGTGCCTTTGTAGTATTCTGATTCTTACCTTGTTGCTCCTCCATGTGCTTTGTGTTGCTTGTAGTACCTGTATTCCTTGATTTTGTTACTTCTTCTACTATTATACTCTTCTCCTTCTAATTATTCACTATTTCCATTAATGGAATAGTATCGACCAATGGAACATTGATTTCTTCTGAATTTCCCATAACAATCTTCACAGCAGCTGATTGAGGTGTAGAATTCCTCACATTAGGACTCAAACTCCCCAGATCCTGTGTTAGCTTCATCTGCATGGTGCTCAATCCTACAGAATTGGATGATATCACTAGTGTTCCTTTGCCGCAAGTTAGGGTTCCTAATTGTGAATCATTTCCACAATTCCTCCCCAAATTCCCACTTCTACTACCTGATGCTATGAATTCTGCTAAATGAACCTTTGGTACATTCTTTTTGTCACGACCCTAAATCCCAACCCGGTCGTGATGGCGCCTCTCGTGAAGACAAGGCCAGCCAACTAAACCCAATTTACCTTTTTAAGCAGTTAAACAACATAAAACAGTCTAAAACATGAATTAATAGTATTAAGTAGCGAATAATGTCAATAAAGTGCGGAAAACATAACCCAACACAGCCCTAACCGGGGTGTCACAAGTTACGAGCATCTAACAGTACCCAATACTCAAAGATAACTACAGAGTTTGAATTACTGAACTAAGACTGTAAAAAAAAGAGATAGATAGAGAGGAGCTCCAGGCTGCAAAACGCCAATAGCTACCTAAAGACTCCTCGAAGATCCGCCTGAAGCTGGAATGAATCAGCACTCGGGAGCGGGACCAGCTATGCCTGAATCTGCACACAGGGTGCAGGGAGTAAAGTGAGTACTCCAACTCAGTGAGTAACAAATGTAAATAATGACTGAAAGTAAGAAAATACGCAAGGCACAAAGCAGTCTATAATGAAGCAGTAAAATTATTTAAAAACAGTAAACCAGTGAAAAGACAGGTAAAATCCCCTTTCAGCAAGTAAACAGGTAATTGACAGGCAATTAAGGTACAGTAAATAAATAAAAGCTCGCCCCTCGGGCACAGTATCACCACATCCGCCCCTCGGGCCACATCTCAGAACAATAACAGCCCCTCGGGCTCAATCTCACATCACACAGTGTACCCGCGCTCACTGGGGGTGTGCAGACTCCGGGAGGGGCCCCTCATGGCCCAAGCGCAATAACAAGCCATCTCGTGGCATCACAACTAGGCCCTCGGCCTCATATCAATCAAGCCACCTCGTGGCGTACATATCTCAGGCCCTCGGCCTCAAATCAGTATCAGTGTCTCCTCACAACATAGGCCCTCGGCCTTACTCGGTCAAAAACACTCACAAGCCCCTCGGGCAATAGTAAACAGTGTTTCTCAGCTCAAAACATCATTTAAGTCTCAAAACTGAGTAAAACGGCTGAGTAGTAAAACAGTGGAAAATAACATGACTGAGTTCAAGTAGTAATTCAAAACAATGAGGAAATATCAATAAAAAGCCCCGAATGGTTCAAATAGTTGGCACGAAGCCCAAATGTGGCATTCAGCCCAAATCATAGTGATAGCAAACAAGTTTCAGTTAAATACGCGGTAAAATCGTCAACCGGGACGGACCAAGTCACAATCCCCAATAGTGTACGACCCCACGCTCATCAGCAAGCATGTGTCTCACCTCAACATAGCACTACGATGTGCAATCCGGGGTTTCAAACCCTCAGAACATCATTTATAGTCATTACTCACCTCGAACCGGCTAAATCTCTAGCTCGCGACGCCTTTGCCCCTCGAATTGGCCTCCACGTGCGTCGAACCTATCCAAAATCAGAGCGAGGATGTCAAAATATGCCAAGGGAACAAAGCCCAAGCAAAAACAATCAATAAAGGGCACAAATCCCGAAATTAGCAAAACCCGAGCCCTGGGCCCACTTCTCGAAACTCGGAAATTTTTACACCAACGGATTCCTTATCTCCCCACGAGTTCATACATATTAAGAATACCAAAATCGGAGTCCAAATGACCCCTCAAATTCTCATTTAAAGGCCTCTTAAACTCAAGCCCTAATCCTCCATTTTTAGCCCTTTAATCCTTTTAATTACAACCTTAATCCATAAAATACTACCATAGAAATGTGTTTTTGGTCCAAAAATCCTTACCTTAACGAAGTCTCTTGATTTCTCTCTTCAGAATCCCCGAAAAGCTCCAAGGTCGAAGTCAAAAATGATGAAATAACCCAAACTCGCGAAATGAAATAACATATATGTCTGCCCAGGACTTTCGGCATATGCGGTCCAAGGCCTCGCTTTTGCGGTACCGCATTTGCGGCCCAACCACCGCTTCTGCTGTTTTTTACTTAAGGCCCAAAATCGCATCTGCGATAGAACTTCCGCATCTGCGGCTTCGCAGATGCGGCCATCTTGACCGCTTCTGCGAAAACTGCTTGCCAGCCCCAATTTCGCATCTACGGCTTCCTCCCTCGCACCTGCGGCCTCGCACCTGCGGTCCCAATTCTGCAGGTGCGAAAATACCAGAAGCAAAAAATCTGCAGCTTTCACAAACATCCAACTTCTCCGTTAACCACCCGAAATCACCCCGAGACCCCCGGGACCTCAACCAAAAGCACCAACACATCCTAAAACCTTATTCAAACTTGTTCCAATCACCAAAACACTTCAAGCAACATCAATTCAACCAAAACACATCGGATTCAAGCCTAAGCTTCTAAAAATCTTCGAATTTCCGCTTTTGATAAAAAAAACCCAACCAAATCACGTCCGAATAACCTGAAATTTTGCACACACATCCCAAATCACCTAATGAAGCTACTACAACTCTCGGAATTCCATTCCGACCCTTATATCAAAATGTCGCCTACCAACCGGAAATCGCCAAAATATCAACTTCGCCAATTCAAGCCTAAATCTACTCCGGACCTCTAAAACCCATTCCGATCACACTCCTAAGTCATAAATCACCTCCCGAAGCTAACCGAACCATCGGAACTCACATCCGAGCCCTCTAACACATAAGTCAACATCCGGTTGACTTTTCCAACTTAAGCCTTCCGAAAAGAGACTAAGTGTCTCAAACTTCACCAAAACCAATCCGAATCCAAGCCGACCAACCCGATACCTCAAAACACGGATAAGCAAGGCATAAAGAAGCTGAAATGGGGGAAATAGAGCGGTAACTCATGAGATGACCAGCCGGGTCGTCACATCCTCCCCAACTTAAATAAACGTTCGTCCTCAAACGAGTCAAGAAACATACCTGAAGCCTCAAACAGGTGAGGATATCTGCTCCGCATCTCCCGCTCGGTCTCCCAGGTAGCCTCCTCCATGGGCCGACCTCTCCACTGCACCTTCACCGAAGCTATATCTTTTGATCTCAACTTCCGAACCTGACGCTCCAGAATAGCTGCTGGCTCCACATCATAAGTCAAATCACCCTCCAACTGAACTGTGCTGAAGTCTAGAACATGAGACGGTTCTCCAATACACTTCCGGAGCATAGAAACATGGAACACTGGGTGCACACTCGACAAGCTGGGTGGCAAGGTAAGCTCATAAGCCACCTCCCCAATCCTTCGAAGTACCTCAAAAGGCCCAATGAACCGCGGACTCAACTTCCCTTTCTTTCCAAATCTCATAACACCTTTTGTGGGCGAGACCTTCAACAGAACCTTCTCACCGACCATGAAGGACACATCTCTAACCTTCCTGTCAGCATAACTCTTTTGCCTTGACTGCGCTGTACGAAGTCTCTCCTGAATCACCTTCACTTTATCTAA